ACCTCTGTCTCTCTCTGGGGGGGGGGGGGTAGCACACAGTTCTGTTCCATGTGGGCCCTGCCCTGAAGCGCTTTTTACACAGAACCAGAACACAAATATAAGGCAGCTCTTTTATAACACAAGATTTCCTGTATAGGCTTAGTAATAACTATCCCACTATATTAATTTTATAACCATTCTCCCAACCTAACACATGAGCTATATAATCAAAGTGAAACTGGGAGTTCTTGAATGGTAATTTCCCCATAGAAAAAGTTATGCTTTCAGTAGTCTCCACATACAGCCCCCTTAGATTTTATTCCAAGTTATTTCACAGAAAATTATTAGGAAAATATTTTGTCCTTTTAAATATAACTTTAAGAAGTTATAATGCTATCAGGAGGTACAATCAGCCAGCTTTTTCTCAACTAGTATCTACCATTCCATTAACAACTGCTTGGGAACCAACAAACAAAACAGACGTCTTACCAAAAAAAGAAGTTCTGTGGCTCAGATTTCTCACACTTACAACTTTTATTTGTTAAATAAACGTGAATGACAAAACATGCCTACTCAGACAGTATAATTACATCAAGAGCAACTACGAAGGCCCTATTAAAAATTTCGCTAAATTTAACCATTTACCTAATTATTGTTCAGATTGCGAAAATTGTTGTAAATTAATTTTACTTTTCTTGATGACATGCTGAACACTAATTGACACACCAGCAGAATTCTAGTCACTTTTGGTACTTAACACCACAGACAAAAAAAGAAAAATCAAAGTTAAACAAAAAGTCAGTTTCCCTTTTTAGATAAACCAATCTAGTTTTAAAAAGACAAGCTTCTGGTAATGGTAATTCTAAACCCAAAAGTTTCCTTACTTTTTCCCACTAGAATAGTTGCTCTAATAATAGAGATTGCCTCTATTAAACTTTGTTTAGCTTCTCATGTTAACAACATGCTAATGAAATGCCATCATGTTCTCATTAGCCTTCCATAAAATCCACGTTTGCTTTAGGCTTCACAAAGAACATTTCTAGAAAAAAAAATCTTGTGCATAATCAAGCACACATTGTTCTCAACTTTGTATTACCTGTGAATTATTCCCTTCCCATGCAAATACTCCAGGGCTGATACAATTTCAGCAGTATAAAACCTGGTACAGGTCTCATCGAATGAGCCAATTTTGCGTATATACTTTAGCAGCTCTCCATTTTTAGCATAGCTAAGCCCAAAATCTGAATGTAAGTATAGTTAAGGTCTATCACAAAATCATTCTGAAACAAAAATCCTCACACCTCGTTCCTAAGACAAGAATACTACTAAAAATACATGAATAATGGGGAAGAAATGGATGCTTGATTTGAAACTTCTCACAGTAGCAATCCAAAACAATTTCTTAACTATGTCAACAACCTAGGACATACATCCCAATTTCTTAGCATAGCAAGGACTACATAAAGGGTTAAATTTGTAGGGTTTTTTCCCAGACACACACCCGAATAATTCATTTAAACTGCATACATGATTGCCCCCCAAGAAAACTATTTACAGTTATAGCTAGAATTCAATCTAAGTCTAAACTTGTCCCATCATCTGGGAAGTGTCAAAGTCAGCTCAGTGCTCAACGGGCAAACCTTCACCCTACAGCAGTGAGCCCCTGCAGCTGCCTTAGTGCACCTGTGCATGTACAGGACTGACACATGGCCCGGGAACACGGTCAGCAGCCTCTGAAAATCCACCACTTACTGACCCCAGAAACAGACCCGTCTCTTCCTTTTACCCTTCAACAGACAATTTGAAGCAGGAAGTTTAGGATGCAGTTCACACGATTAACAATTTCCTCAGAAGAACAACAGAAAAACCCAACTGCAAACCAGTGAGCTTTTAAGATTAAATTGCACTTTGCAATTACTGCTAGAGAGAGAACTTGGGAAACAGGGACCCAAAACAGAAGAGTTTCAGCTTTCTATCATTCAGATTATTCTGTATGTACTTTTACATTAGAACAATTTCAACAGATCTAGCTGTTCAAATAAGAAATAGGAGGAAGTATAGCCAGTGATCCCTATGTTAAACACTGGTATTATGACATTTTACTGTATAAATCAGAAATAAAACTTTTCTAAATACACCCCTCTATTTTTCATTTTTTATTTAAAATGTCATTTAAATTCAGATTGTTGCAAGTCATCCTTCAGCATTTACCACATGGACAATATATGTTATTTTTATCCATCTCCCCTGTCCCACAAGTCATCTACTTTTCCTTTTGAGGGGTCACACTCATTTTATTTGCTTAATTTCTGTGAAAAGCACAACTGCAAAAATTGCATTGCAAACTAAGATATTTTAAATATGTTATTTTCACCATTCCTGTTAAACAAAGGAACCAAAAGAAACTTTTATGAAACTGTTACAGCAGATTTTAAAAAGCAAAGGATACATAGCTTTTCATCATCCTGAAAGGTGAAGTAGAGTTTCACGAAAAAAGGGTGATCCAGACGGGACATTACATCTCTCTCCCGTGTCACATATGGCACCTTGTTTTCTTTTATGATATGACGCTTTTCTAGAATTTTAACTGAAGGAAAAAGACAATGAAAATACAGGCTGTACAACCAAATGACGGCCATCTAAGTAATTTGTTTTGAGCTACTTTTGCTTAGATAAAATTATCATAAATCCACTAATTCTCTAACTACATTAAAATTGCAGTTTTTAGAAGTTCATGTTGAAGGACTCAATACTTACTGGCATATTCTCTAGAACTTGCCAATTCTCGAGCCAAGACAACCTGTTGCCAGAGGAGAGAAAATATATTGTAACTATTCACTGAAGACATATACCAACATTGATTCTGGTGCTTCAATGAGTATTCAGAATACTGACTGTCCAAAAAAAGCTATCACAACTTTAAACAGCAAAACATTAACTATGTGCTCATATTATGCTGGCTTCAGCAAGACTCCTACAGAAGTTCAGCTCAGCATAACAATGCTTATTTTGCTAAAAGACTGATACCCTTGGCTGGGTAACCACTGGGTTTGTCTGGTGGCTTGGATTTTGTTTGTTTTTCTCCTCCAGGAGATTTCTGAAGATTTTACTATAAATCGCGGTTAATTGCCTAGTCTTCTTAAAGGGAAAAAGATAAAAGCAAGTAGTACACTGAGGAATATTTATAAAAATTTGTCACAGTACTTTTTCTTACCACAAATGGCAAAGATTGGAAGACAATATTTATCTGAAAGATGGAAAATAAGAAGAAAGACAGAGCTTTCAACTATTTACAGTTGGTTAGGAAAAAGGTTTAAAGAAAGGGAATGAGATATTTCCAGTTACAGAAGCAAGGGATAAATTTCAGGCAAGCAGTTCTACATTTTTAAAGATAAATGCTTTTGAAGTAACACACATTAAAGCTCACCTTCAGGAAGCAACTTCTATAAAAGGCAACTTGTAAGACAATTGGAATAGTCCTCTTGCATGAATCTGAGCAATAACCTTGTAACACTAGACGGCTAAAGTATGAGTTTTCCTCATTTTTAAGTTTACATTCATTTCAACACCTTTCTAGTCTCAACATTGCTTTTTTTAAGTCACTGCACCAGGATTACTTCTAATTCACTTCTCAATATATTCTAACCCCTTGTCAAATCAGTTACAACAGAGTATTCCTAAATATTATTACATACATCTGATACTAAATGTTAAGAACTTCAGGAAAAGCTACTAAATAAAGCACTTTTTCAGGTGAACGAAGTGCACGCAGTTGCACTCCTTCAGTATTAGAAAATTGAAAACTTCTACTAGAAATGACCAGTATGTTACAAGCTGCATCTCTGCATATGGAATTTTTGAGACCCTTCTTGTGTATACAGGTTTAAAGCTGTGCAATCAAAGGGGAATGTTCTTAACTCTTCTATTTTTTGTTGTCAGGTTTCATCAATGAAGTCTACCATTACAGCTACCCAAAGCACGTCACTTTAGAAGTCAGTTGTTAAATACCCAGATATATAACGATCACTTTCCATGTTTTGAAATTCTACATTTTCACAAATAAATTCAGTGCCATCAGTAAAACAAAAATCCAATAGGCAATCTTGCCTATAGATACACACAGAATCCACAGTCAGAGGGCAGAAGTGATCAACTGACAGATGTGAAAATGTAAGTTGCCTGATAACTCTCAAACCTGAATTAATCTATATGGCTCCAAAGACTGACTCTCCTCCCGTCAGACATGATAGCAAATCTTACCATTAGATTTCAGATTTATTACCCACATGCCTACATAGAGCTCAGCTGGTCAGTATCAAAGCACACAGGACTGCGTATTCACCTCCTAGCCTGAGTACCTGGGTAACCTCAATATCAATAAGGAATGTGAATTCTATAGAAAGGAGTTAGACCTTACGTAGATAACTTTTAAAAGAGCATTCACAGAGCATGTGACTTGCAAATTCAGAGAACAGTAAGTTAAGAAATGTAGTTAAATGCCCCAGAATGGAGGAAGGTGAGGTAAGAAGAGAACTCTCAACACAGACTACAAAGGCAGAAATAATTGCTAACATAATTGGCAGACATCATGGCCAAGCCCAACTCTGAACTTGAAAAAGTACTTAAGACTGACAGAGATGAAGCTGCCTTTAAGAACTGGTTTTAGTCAGATACTCGTAAGTTCTTCAGAGCTCCTCTGCTTTTTAAGAGAAGTTAGAGTTAGTTCATAGGTAGAGACAAAACCAAAGTGGGGAGGGAAATATGTACCAGACATACAGGAGGTTGTAAGCAGGACAACATGCCTACCTAAACATGAGAATTATAATTCTGCCACCACATAGCTCATACTATTCTGAGCAGAGCTTGAAGCTGTAGATTTTCATTACTGTAAAAGAGCAAGAGCAACAAGTAGGCGGCCTTACATTTGTGTATCTGTTCATATCAAGCATGGGTCCAAGACCAGTTCCAGAAGAATGTTTTATTGCAGAATGTTCTGAAGAAAAAAATCTCAAGGGCAGATCATTCACCAGGTAGAATCTGTGATATCTTAATAGAATTCCAATAAAATTGAATATATTCATTATTACCCTGAGTAAATTATTTTAACTTTTTTTTTTTTAATCTGAAGCTGTCATTGGAGGCATGGTAATTTGCAGACCCCTGCTTTTTGAGATGAACACTTTTCAGTCAGAATATTGATGAAGATCTTGGGAAGTACCATCAGATCACCGAATCTACAACTACGTGTAATAAGAACAAAGCACATGCTCTTTAACAAGATGTTTTGGTAACAACACGAAGACACACATTCTACAGATCAAGAGCTCTGGTGCTAATACATCAGAAGCTTGTACTGCCATCCAGAGCATCCTCAACAGACTGGAGAAATATGCAGACAGGAATCTCACGCAGTGCCCTTTTTTTGGCCTGCAGACTGCTGGGGTAGAATAATCCCATGGACCAGTATATACTGGTGGTTTGGGGTGGAAAGCACCTTTGCAGAAGACTAAGGGGTCCTGGTGGACACCTATCTGAACATAAACCAGCAATGTTCCCATTCCTGGAGAGAAGGCGCATGGTACCTTGAGCTGCATTAGGAGGTATGTTGCCAGGCTGCTGAAGGAGGTGATCCTCTCCCTCTATTCAGCACTGCTAAGAACACACCTGGAGTACTTTATCCAGTTTTGGGCTCCTCACTAAAACAGACACATGGAGCTACTGGAGAGAGTCCAGAGAAGGACCACTAGGATTATTAATGGAATGTAGAACCTCTCAATTGAGGAAAAGCTGAGATAGATGGGATTACTCAACCTAGAGAAGAAAAGGCTCAGAGGCAATCTCACCAATGTATATAAATATCAAAAGGGAAAGTGTAAAGAAGATGGAGTTGGGCTCTTTTTAGCAGTGGGTCAAACACAAGATGTTCCATTTGAAAATCAGGAAATGCTTTTTTACTGTGAGGGTGACCAAGCACTGGCACAGGTTGCCCAGAGAGGCTGTGGAACCTCCAACCTTGGTTCCCTGGAGAGACTCAAATATCTTCCGTGCAGTCTGAGCTTTATAAAATACATCCCTAAAACTATTGATCAGTTTCTAAAGTCATAGCACTGCAGCAACAGACCAGAACTGCTAAGGTTGACAGAAGAAGCAACAGACAAAACTCTAAAGAACAAGGCTATGTAGGGATTAACACTGTCATGGTATTCAGTCTCTTCTGCTGCCATTCTAAATGCATTTGAGCTACCTAGACTTTAGATCCTCTACCAGTGAACAGGTAGCAGAATGAGGAACATAAGTTTATTCAGAACCTGAGCTAGGCCCCATGAATTTCTTTATTTATACAAGGAACATGATGCTGACCTTCAGAGACCACAAGCCAAAACTAAAAGTATCTCACTGAAGCAGAGTGTTCTGGTACACCCAAGAAGCAACAAGTCTGTTGCATTCATTAGGGAAACGTGCAAATTGCAAACTATGTACTTAAGTGCTAACTACTGAGGACTACTAAAGGCCTGCCTCCTGAACACTGCAATAGACTATATAAGAACCACCAGAAAAACCTAACATTAGGAGACCGAAAACCAAAAGGTATACACAACAAATTATGTGAAAAAGATACAGAAACATTACTTATTGTGTTACAATAGGGCAAATACAAAAGTATTAAATGAAAGTATTAATTGTTTCATAGCTTCTTTGAGATAACGCTTAAATAATTAATTCTTGTGCAATGGCATGGATGTGACAAGGAAGTTGGAAATATTCCATTTTAGGATACAGAATACAAAGATACCAACTATGGCTTGTGAAGTCCATGAGGGCCATGACACTAGAGGCTGAGAAAGAATATTGGAGAAATATCAGTTTGTACTTTCTTGTGCAAGCATCTGGCAATAGCACCTGCCACAGTCAGGACATCATGTAAAAGTTTCTACCATGACAAACTCCTAGCCCAGTTAAAATCCTTTATATAATAAAATTTTAACATAGCCCACTATGCTATCACACTTTTATTAGAAAGCAGTGTCTCCTAAAAAGCCAAGCATCAAGTCATTAGAATACAATGCAACCTCTGATGAGCTTAAAAGGTACTTAAAAAATCAGCACACATTTAGTACAACACTTAATTTTAGTAGTTAAACTTGAATCCACTGTCTCGCTCATTTACTAATCAAGCTGTTCTCTCCAGATCTAAATACTGGCAACATTACAACAAATTTTGAAGTTTATCAAAGATATTTGGCACTTCTTATAAAAGGTAAAGTTACCGTTGAAAAAGATCCTTCACCCAGGATTTTCCCAAATTTGAAGTCATCAGGTCGTTTCTTTCGAGGCTGTGGAGGCTGCTGTGCTGTATGCTGCTGCAAGGAGTTTGAACTAGATCTGGATTCAGCTGCAGTGCCCTCCATGTTAGACCCCTGTCTGCTGCCACAGGTGGAAATGACAGATGGAGTGCTGGAATCTGCTTGGTTCCTCACCATTGATGGGGATGAACAGGAGCATAATACCACACTAGGCTGGATTGGAACAGCATCATACTGAAAAGAGAAATGAAATCGTGATTCCTAGACCTTCAAATTAACGCGTAGGAGCATTATATATGAGCACTGCATGTATATGATTTCCTTATGAGCACCACATAAAGTCCTCTTTGAAAGGCTTATTGTTAAAACATCTTTAGGAGGGAACGTTAGTATTTATTTTGGAAATGACAGCTCTTAATTTGTTAAGCAACTCTGTTTAGGTCATGCTGCCCACAAACATAGAGCCGTAACTCAAAAGTCTGAACACTTTAATTGAAGAATGCCTTTTTCCAAACTAAAAAAAAATGCTCCTTAACAAGGTATCAATTTCACAGTGTTTTCTCCTACAAATAACATTACTTTTAAACTTTATTTCATGCTTAGAGATGGAGCCATCCATCCACTCTTAACAAGTAATAGTCTTCCTGAAACTAAAAGATCTATCTAGTTATGCAATGAACATCTGTATTCACAAGGAACGTGAGTTTAGAGACCCTAGTCACAATGAACTGCAAATGAACAAGTGAAGCATAAAAACCTCAGCAGAAACAAAGGATACATTCTTACATTTTTCCTTGGAATCTCAATTTCTCCAATAGTATTTCTCTTTAATACACTTTGAGGAAGGACAGAAAGAAAAGAGACAACATACAAACAAGCAGAACAGTTGGAGGCTTTAATAATCAGCAATATCTAATACCTTTTTTGAAGAATGACCTAGTCCAAGAAGTTTCAAAACAAGGGAGACTACACTATTTAAATTGTAAATACAGTCAGACAAAGACATGCCAATTAAAAAAAAAAAGAGAGAGATTCAGCCCAGAAGATAGAGTACAAGATGATAACACTCCACATAGTGATTCTTGTAGTATACAATGCAAATCATCATTTGGTACTCTTCTATCAATCCTTCCCAAGAAAGACCAAGGAAAATTGCCAAGTTGCTTTTCACCCCCATTGGTAATATAACTCCCTTAGTATGTCAGGTGTCTGCTTCAGATGTTTTACTTGAAAATGGCCAGAAAATGCAGAAAAACAGGAAAGTTCTGCTGAACTACTTCTAACAACAAAACCCAAAATGTTTGCAAACAGGGAATATTTAGGAAAATTAACACCAAATTGTCTAAACGTTATTTTTTAATCTTGATATTCTAACATACATCCAGCACAATGAAATCACAACTTAATGAAAATCTCCTAACCTGAAAACAGATGTATTACATAACCCTGACCTAGTCTGTAACATACCTCATGTCGCTGTTCAAATAAAAAATTGGTTTTGTCAGAAGTAATGCCTATCTCATTAATTTCAATTTTATCCAGAACAATTTTCTGCATTTCTATCAGAAACCACTTTAGAAGGGAGTTGGACTTGCATTCAACCATGTGAATAGGCTTAAAGCACCTAACTCAAATTAGCAATTACTCTCTTGGCTGTGCTCTACGTAGTGGGGAAAAGCAGCCTTTATTTACTGCTAGGTGTCTTTCAAAAATAAAATGCATTTCAGAAATATCTTTTACTTAGTTACTTAGTAGAATTACAGAACAAGACACACATCTTTCAAAGCAGGCAAACGCACACTTTCTAAATTGAGACAAAGCTAACAAGGTCAAGAAGAGTACAGCTAAAATGCTCCATTTTCTCCACACTCCATGACTGATATATAAATATCAATTCCCACGATACTGAAAATTAACTACTAACAATTGTTCTAAAAGTATCTTCCAAGAAGCATAAGGGAAGATTCCCTTTCCAATCTGAGTGCCATCTCTATTGCTCCACAGAATTTCTCCGAGAGCTATAACCACACTGATAGGGTGACAGACCAAGAACATGTAACATCTCCTTTCATTAGACTTTTGTCTGAGCTTTGTGCAACAGGGGAGACTGATAAGGAGTCTGCCTGTAATGACAGCTATTTGCTATATTACGTATAGCTTTTGTTTGGACAAAAGATGGATGAAGCTGGGCTAAGACCTGGATACAGATGAGAGAATTTTGTTTTTCCAAAAGTTCACTAACTTCTCCAGAGAGCAGTACCTGCCCCTACTCACAATCAATTATGCAGCATTCTTCCCTTAAAAGAAAATATATTGATGATATTGTTATGAAAACAGCACATATACATTGGAGTAGGTGTGCTGTAGGTCACAGTTCCTTTTATGCCTTCTATACAGATATTTCAGCTGACATCTTTCCCAGACTAGCTATTGTCCCTAACATTCTCATAGCCCAGCCAAAATGACCTTTCCCTCAGACGACTAGCAGCAGCCTATGTAGAGATACACAGTAACTAGAATTAAAAAAAGATTGTACTCTCTCCTATCTAGAGCACAGTGACACCGACACAAGCATGACTGCTCAACAACTGAAGTGACGCTGACATAGGAAATATCCCCTTAACTGAAATATAAGGCACGTTCACAGAGACGAAACGTTCAGATTTAGCCATGGACTGGCTCCACTCAGGCTATTCCAGAGAAACTGAGGGTTTACAGGTAAATAAAGCAGCAGCACTGTGGCAGATGCATTAGATCCCGCAGTTAGCAAGATCACCTAGGAAAACAAACAAACAAACAAACCAACCAACCAACCCACAAAAGCACCAGAGAGCACAGAGAAAGGGAGGGAGGTGAGGGCGGGGGTGCTGGATGCCATCTATTTCTCTGCATAGTTTCTGAAACTAAGTCACAATGAATATCAAATATAGAAAGGTCCTAAGGGAAGAAGAGGCAAGAGTAAAGCACTATACTTGGCTAGAAAGAGGTTATTTCTAGCCAAAGTATAACGTCAGTTCATCCCCTGACTTTCTCAAAGCAAAGTCAAGATTAAGGGCAGAGGAAGATGCAATAAAGTATCAGTTACCTAAGAAATGACAGAACTGTACAACTAGGTATGTTGCACCTGAACATTCCTAGAAAACATCACTTCTACACTTGTCTCTCCATACTCCACGTATCCTTGTGTAGTAATTTCTGTCCTGTATTATTTATCTTCTCAGTTTAATTTTGAAAGACTCAAAACCACGTCTGCAGACACTCTACATGTTTCTACACATATTCACATATGCCAGAGAGAACACAGGCTAGCTCACCAGGTCTAACCTCACACAGCCACTTTTTCAAAAAATCAGATTTAAACTTCTGCTTGATACAGATTTTCTTGGTCAGATATGAAATCAGTCACTGAAGAATTAAAAAACCTTCTAACCTGCATCTGCACTTCTTAGAAGCTTGAGGATGCTCTTCTTCCACTAATTACCAACATTTCTCAGCTGGCAAGACAGTGAAAGCAGAGATGCTCACATTATGACAACATACCTATTGCATGTCATGGATCATTGTGGACCACACTAGTAACCACCGATATGATCATTCTATCTATTCTTCTAAAAAGTAGTCTCTTACACTATCTACTTTCCCCATCCCTTAGTGGTGCTGTTTCTAATTTATTTTCATATAGAAATTGTTTCCTTCTTAGTGCAACATACTGTGAGTTTTAAAACCAAATGAGGAAGTAAATAACAAACCTGATGAAGGTGAGTGGAATTAGAAAGAACAAATGTACCAAAATCTTCACTAACTAATTTTCCTAAATCACTAGAAACAAGCTTCCTTTTATTTACATACCATGTGAAGTAACTCCTTAAACTTTTTCCCCCTTGCCTGCAAACAGCAGAAATAAACTTTAAAAGAAAACTTCCACCTATGCAAAAATCCCACTACACACCACCGCATTTTTCCTTTTACACCTTCCTCATTCTCCTTTGTATGAGAAACCAGTCTCAGGCAAAACTCCAAGCTATCTAAAGGACCTATACCTTTTGGAGTATTTTTTTTCAATTCAGCATTTTGACAATAGCACTACAACTTTTAATAGATTTTAATATATCTAAGCACACAGTATTCAAACAAATACCACACTGCTCTAAAGCAAGTACAATCACGAATGCATCTGTACTAGCTTTTTCCAAAAATCTGTAACACTGCTTTGCTGATACAGTCCTATCAACACTATCAAAAAGAATACTTGTGGAGTCTGGGCCTTCTGAAGCTTCCAGTATATTTTACTTCTATCCTAACTGACACAATACTGAACCCTGAAGATGGCTCAGAATATCTTTGCTACCCGTGAAACTACTAGCAAGATTTCATTTCTGTTACAAAGATAGTATGAATAGGGTCTTAACCTATCACCTGTCTGATAATGCTGAGTCTGACTGATGATCGTATTAACTGAATCTTTTGCTGCAGTAAGGGCTAACATAGGGCAAATTTTGCTGCATTAATACATAGGGCTAACACTTACCTATAAGACCAATTTTTTTAGAAGCAGACCTTGCTAATAGAAAGTATTATTTACACAAAGCAACATGAGATCCACACTTCAACTGGTACATTTGTTTTGACTATAAACAATGCTGATGAGATGGTAGAAGCCAGAACATTGTCACAACACTCTTATGAAATGTTTTTTATGGTGAACTGCATTACAGCTCGACCAAACGAAATAATGCAGATAAATATCCATAAAACATTTGACTTGGCGTTACATAACCTCTGAAATATGGAATACTGTTGAGGAAAATGAATATAGGGCATATTCTAAGTTAATCCGGTTAAATTCTTAAACAACTTACACATTCCCAAACAAGGAGCTCTCCCAGTTAACATCTGGATTGGCCCCGATTGTGGCAAACAGAACCATTTTTTTTTTTCTTTTGCCTTCTGATCCTGCAATACTGACCGGAGGACCTTTCCCCCCTCCCCTTGCAGGGCTGGGACACAATTACTCTGGACTGACAACCTTTGGCACCAGTTTGCGACAACCCTCAAACCAAAAAGGCTGAAAGAAAAAGAGTAATTGCATAAATCTGAAGACTGACTCTGTGTGTCTGTGTAACAAACAAAACCACAAACAAACGCCACAAACAACTACACATTTGGAAAAAAAAAAAGTGTAGCTCTTACTTAGAGCAATCTACAGCTTTTGGTACATAAGACAGTGAGCTCTTACTTTGGTCTTTATTAAAACACTACTACAAATTAAAATATTGACCATGAACTTAGGCATAGCGGTGGGAAACAAGTGAACAAAGAACTTAAGCCAGTCCAGAACTAGAAAGCATCAACTAGGAGAAACAAGGTCTTGCTGCTACTAGGACTGCACAAACGTTAAGGAGAATACCAAATCAAACCAGTTTCAGGAGAAAATCAACACACTGCACTCCTGCAAAAACATCTAATCAACTGACGAGAGTAAGGTCCTGGAATCTCTTTATTAATAATTCTGACCGTTTTAGCCTTGTGGTATCAGAAAATACAGAACTTTCAAAATTAGCATCACCTGAAATTCAGAACAAGTCTTATGGGATACAGGAATTACTGAATGGTGTATGTCATAAGTGTTAGACTAAATTATGATAAAAAGTTCACATACGATCATGAAGACAAACAATACAAACACATATGCCCTACATCTGCAAAGTCTGCTTAAGAAATGAGAGGATTCAGATAGCAACACAGTAGCACTTTAGGATATCCATGAATTAATCTTTTCACTTGCAAATAGAATTTGAGAGGTTTTCAAAGCAGATACTACAGGATAAGACACCCCCTGCTGTCCTAGTATCCAATCACAGCCTTTGCATGTCTGCCAAACATAGCCCTTTGATACATAAACAGGAAGATCATCCAAAAAAAAAATCTATGAATCTAAGATTCAACATCCAAATTAATACACTTGTCTTCAAGGACAAATATGAAGTCTATCTGTTCATCTGCGCAATTAAGAAGAATAAAGGCCTTTATTTCACATGGACAGAAGGTAATCGCTTTCACTGGACGGGTGTTTTGTAGTTTCAGAGATAAATCTGACCTGCTACTATTTATCAATAGTGAGAGTCTCCTAAGGACAGTTTAACTTAGACTTGGCCTCAGAGATTTTGTAAATTATTTTTATTATTCTGACATTGTTTTTTACTGCTGGTTAATTTTTATTGCTTCATAATGTGGGTTTTCTAAGGATTTATCTGCAAAATGTAAAGGGAAAAGCTGAACAGCTATGTAGTCACATTTAATAGTCTTTTTGTGACACACTGGTGTTTTAGAGGGTTGACAAAGATGCAACAACTTCATCTGACACACATCTTGTACCTGAAAAAGAGCACAGGAATTAGAGGATACTATGCACAGCTTTCCCACTGGCCTCCTCCCCCTTCATATTCCACAATGAGAAAGTTTACTTTCTCCAGGTTCTCCAATGCCTATGTGTGACAGCCTTTGCTTCAAAGGCTCGAGTGTAACACATCCTGTAAGTTCCACCATATTCCAAATGAAAAAAAAGCAAGTCATCAGGTCAGATACTAAGATGAACATACAGTCCTCAAACTATTCCTCATAGTACCTAATAGAGCGCAGGCAAAAGCTGGGCAGTTCAGCTACAAGAAACATCAGATACAAAAACACTGATTCACAGAACAACAAAATCCAAGCAAAAGCCTCACCTTCAAGCATAGAAAGCACAGTACAGGTGATACATCCCATGATTTGTCAATCTTATCCAGGAGTGGTTTGCAGGAAGCATAATCATCATCATGTGATGCCTATCAATATCCAACACCAGCTTTCCTTTAGTAAAGTCTGTGCACTGTTTCAGCAGTGACTGCCACGAATGAAGGCAACCCACAACAGTCATAGATGGTGTGTTCTCACAAACTGCAGTGAACATCAGTTCTCATACTCCTATGCTCATGTCTGTTTATGCTCTGGACTTCTGTCTAAAAATGGACCGTGAGACTTTCTGCAAAGTGACCAACAACATCATCTCTCCATTAACCAAGTGTACATGTGCATATATAGCAAGAAACAATATACTGAATAATTTCTGAAAATCCATGGCATGCCAATTTCCACTTATATATGTTCAGAAGTTTGTGAGATAACTTAAAGAACTTGGTAACACATCTATTTCCCAACATTATCTTTAAGGAATTCAAACATTTGCCCAAAGAAAAAGAGAGAATCCATTCATATGCCTTAAAGAGAGTCACTAGCTGGTTCTCAGACTATCTCGTCATTATAACAAAAATCAAGCATGTGACAGACAGAGCAAAACTCGGATCAAACCAAGCCTCAGCAGTACTTCTGCATGCACTACACAACTAGTAAACCATTCACCCACTTAACACATTAACTTTGACACTCAAATACATGCAGCCACATTAAAAAAAAAAAAAAAAAAAAAAATCCACACACCACCACACCATAGTAATTGGGGGGTATTTAAAAACATGTACCCTGCTCACACTTTCAGCCTGATAGAAGAGGATGCATCCCCCCTAATCAGGAGGGAATACCATTAGACTGGAAAAGTAAGGAAAACAGAAGTATGCTTTCAGATTTTGAAACCTAAGAAAAAACTTACAAGTGCTTTGAAGAACCATACTTGACATTCATTCATTGAAAGGAAAGAATAAGTTAAAAAAAAAAAAAATATTGTAACTGAATACTACACTGGCAAAGACCTAGACTTCTCTGGGAGGAAAACATTAAGTCATACTTTAACAACTGATCTGTGCAGCACGGTGCAAAATAGGGCATTAAAAAAGTTAATAAAAAAAATGTGATCAAAAGGGGTGATATTAAAGCATTCTTTAAAAAATCTTCTGCGTTTAAGCACTATACAAAGCAATTAATTAAACAACCTGGTTAATCTTCACGATATCACATGAAGTGAAGTTTGTATTGAAATAACAGACCTTGTTGAACCTTTCTTAAGGCAGACAATTCAAATGCCTAACACAACTACAACAAATAAAATTAACAGACATTTCTAAGAACAAATACTCCTCTCCAAAAACCAAACAAGCCACTTATTAAAAACTGTACTAGGTCACAAAGATGCCCAAGATATTTTTCCAGGACCACAGAATGGGGTTTTTTTTGTACAGAGAAGTTTTAAAGATCATATTAACTCATTATCTTCAAACTAATCAAAGTAAACAAACCCTACTCCAAGTATTAATTACTTCTAGATATTAAAAAAGTCTTAACATCAAGCACTGATCCTTGTAGTGCAGCAATTTGCATTTATATTGTGTAGAGCTGCATCAGCACCCTTTCAAATCTCATCATCAAATGGCATGCGAAGATTACTGCAGAGAATGTAAGACCCAGCTAATAATTCAAGGTGTCAGTCACCTCCTCGTCTTGAAGGAACTCAGCATTACAGTCAGCAAAACAATCTGAAGCAAAACAATTTGTCAAAATCTATGTGGTGATCAAGGTCCATAAATGATTACAAATTTAACAGAACAGATTCAAATCTCATATTCCAACTAAAAGAGCTATTTTAACACAACTTTGTTTAGCAAAAGAATCTGAAGTCATATATCTATCAGGAGTGAATTTTTTTGATCTCAGAAGTTAATCACATGAAAAATCTGTTGCTTAATAGACCACTGTTACAAATAAACCATGCAAATTTAAAAAATTTTCAGCTGTATGAGGAGGATTTTGTTTAAACAGACTATCATGCTGACTGATTGGCTCTGACCCACCAAAACAACTACACCCACCTCCACACACAGTGTCAAGCCTCTTACATGCTGGAAGCTAAGCATTCATTGAAGCACTGCATAAAACTGTCCCAGTGTGTCCCAAAAAACAATCTTTTAACAAAGTATCCTGATAGAAAGTACCATCATTTAAAAGACGACTTCTCTAAAAATAATATGCTGGTAATACAAGCATACAATCCTTACACTTGACAAACAGAGGGGGAAAACGTGAAGCAGTCACTTATTCCAAGACAGTACTCTACATAAACTGATTGGGACCTTTGCAACAGTAGGAAACAGAAGTATAAAAAGAATTCAAGTTGATGTAGTCTACTTAATATGTTAACAGCCCTAATAAGTTTTAAAGAAAAACTACTGTAACCTGAAGGTAATGTTGCAAATACTTGTAATAAACCATAATAAAACAAAGTTATTGCTTCAGAGGAAACATATAGAAAGCACTGGCTAAGCCTGACAATGCCATGCTCTAATAACCTACGAGAATCTGATTAGTAAACTTGGGTCTTTTGCAGGGAATTTATATTACTGTAAGGCAGAAGTAGGTTGTGCGTAGAATCTAAAAATCTAGGCACTAGAATCTAGACTCGTGTCTAGTTAGCAGTTGTTATTTTGGAAGATACACATCCTATCTACAAAACATAATCAAGAAGATTAACTTTGAAGATGTTTCAAAAGTAATTGATTTTTCTTCTCAAGCTTTTTGGATGTTCATCCTCACAAATTTCATGGTATATAAAGTAGTTTTTTAAAGTTTGAGGCAACACACTGTAGTGTTCACATAAAACAATTTCAGAATGAATAATAAATAATCTGTTTCTCACCAAAAACAAAGCTCAGCTCTGACGCTACCTCCTTCATAACTGAACACCTACCACCAGCTACTTTCTGCAGTAAATCTCTAACACTGTTTATCCAGAAGTGAATAATGAAGAGAGCAGATTCCTTTTATATCAGCAACAATGCAACCAACAGGCTCAATGATTTGAAATTGCAGAGAACACTTCTACATTGTTACAATTGCTGTGACTCTTCATTTAGAGAACATAGGTATTTTATCCACAAGACTGACTTTTTTTCCTACAGAAATCAATTTCTCACATACAGAGCAATGTTGACCAAAACATTTCAGTTAATGCAAATGCCTTTTTCTAAATTTTACAATCTTACACATATGGCAGCCTTTCCTGCCACTTGCTTCCAAGATTCTAATTCCAAATTCAGGTAGGGATTAAAGCTAATGAAACGACTTGTAAGAACCTGCATTATCAGCCAGCTACCCCCTAACCTCTTCTACTGCTGAGCAAAGCACTTAAGTTCCAAGCACGTTCAGGGGCAGGGACTATTTAAGGCTTCCTTCCACCACCTTCCCCCCCCATACCCCCCAAGCCTTAAAACAGATCAGAAACAGGAAACCACAAAAATCTCTAAGAACCTTAAGTCAGCCTATGTCCCAAAAAGCTACGTGTGTAAACAAGCCATTGGGAATTCATTTCTCACATACAGATCCAGGCCAGCTCACAAGAAAACAAAAGCCAGCTGTAATCTCAGTGGTCTAGATCACATCCTACACCATCAGTTATCTCACGAAGCACACCAACATTAGGAGGTGCTGCACAGCATGGATGGGGGCTCACGCTAAGAAACACAAAAAGACTTGCCACACTAGGTTCCTTGCTAGCTATGCTAGGAGGCAGAGAACAGTTTTGGGTGAAGAGCAGAGAAGCAGCCACACAGTGGTGGCAGTATGTACATGGAGCATACAAAAGTTGGGCAGCACAGTCAAGAACTGTAAATCAAAATCCTGCAAGAATACCAAAGAACTGAACATGAAATTTAATAATTTCAGAAGAATGTACTAAGCAACTTAATCCCTGCAATTTTTCACTATGAAGAATTACAGAATATTCACCACGTGAAGTATTTACAGCTTATCTTTTAAAGCAGAAATAATCTCGTATTCAATATTCAGTCACAAAACACATCAGTTTTATTTCCTGCAGCACTGATGAGTAGAATCCATAAGGTGTGAAAAACAAGGTTCTAGACCAAACAGCTAACTTCGTGAGTGTTGTGCTCAGTCCTTTCATACAGACCTTACTAACTTCCCACAAGCTCACCTGCAAGTAACACGTCAGAAAGGGAAGCAGGGAGTGGGGGGGGAAACCAGCTCCTTCCCCTTTTTTGCTTCTTTATTACATATACATAATCTAAGTTGGCTACCTGCAAAAAATGTTTTCCCATTTGAAACACCAGAAACAAGAATTCCTTGGCTTCATAAAAATTCTTCAGGAAATTCCAATATGAGAAACTTGGAAAAGGATTTTATCTTTCAGTCATACTGCCTTCTGAATGAAATTTTATCTTTCCATATCAAAAAGTAATTTCTCACTTGCATATATTCTGATGCCACAGATGTGCTAGTTCTACAGCAATCCATACAGCTTTTCTAGGAAAAAAAAAAAAAACAGATAAAATACAGGTTTACTATTAAAAAAACAAGGATTACTAAAATTTTTCACATCTTCATAAATCAGATCTATTTTTATTACTTTGTCCAGTCTAGAAAAGTGGCTGCACCCCTGGTTTCATGTCTTCTGTACCAAAATTCCTGCAAGTACTTTAATAGCCACCCTCCCTTCCAAGTTTTTCCTGCAACACTGCCTTCCAGCTGATCTGCTTTGAGCAAGTGAAATGAGTCCTAGTCTGCAGGGTGTCTCACGATGTCCAGCTACAGCAATCTAATCTGATTCAATCTGCATCTTCAGCAATCTACTGAAGACATAGATAACCATTCTTCTAGACTCTTCATTTTGAGGGGAAGAGCACTTCCTAATATGAGGCCAAATATGCTTATAATGAAGGCACAGCAGCAAGTAACTAAGACCACACGCACAGCAGCAACCAAAGCAGCACTAACGCTGTTTTCTTCTTAAAAGTGTAATTCTCTCCTTGGTACCATGTCTTCAGAAAGTGGCAGAATGTTTTAGGAATTGTCCCCACGTACACAAATACAGTAATTGTTTTGGCAGAGGGATGCTAGAATATTCCTTTCAAAGATGTGCTCTATTTTCCCCTCTCCAGTCTTCTGCATTTATAGTAAAATAATCACAGAATTCATTAATGTCATTAAATCCATCAGACATTAACAGTCACATGCTCAGAGTCTCAGAAATGCTCTATTCCCCGTATTTGATATCATTTGAATGACACAAAGGCTAGCTGAATAAAGCCACCTCTGTCCATTACTGCCAACTAGTATACTCACCTGACGAGAGCAATACTAAACACGATGGAAGAGAAGGAATTAAAAGTAATTTACTCTGAAAAAAAAAAATCTTAGTTTTAACAAGACATGTTTGCTGACTTTGTTCCTCATTCATCCTCTCTCTCTACCTTTCTCCTACAGGAAGGGACCTAAACTCTACATAGAAAAGGAACAGAAATGGTAGTGTTTTGGAGAGAAACACATAGAAAGACAGGCAAGAAGCAAGGACAGG